TAGAAACCACATTGCTGTTCTTTGTCAGTTGTGCACAGCTAGTTTTTTGGCTAAAAGTTTATCTTATGCTTTTGTCTACTTTTGTTAAAGAGCTAAAAGACCTGGAAATCTTTTAGCTCTTTAATATGTTTCAGAATGAAATAAATCAATTATGAAATGTATCTTTGAATAACCAGCAAAGTAACAACACATTGACCATCTGTCTTAAAATCTTATCTTCAGCATATCTTAGCATATAAAGAAGGTGAGAACTGAGACTTTAAATCTTAATTCTGCATTAACTGGCTTTGTATACTTGGTCATGTCACTTAAGTCTTCTGTGGCTCAATTTGTTTGTCTTATTATAATGTTGAAAGCATAAAATGAGTTTGTTGAGAAAGTCCATAGAAATGCATAATAAAAAGGGAAAGAATTGTTACCAAATTGGATTCATCACTGAAATAAATATAACAGTTTCTATTTCAAGAGAACATGCTTGATATTCAAGATAACTGGTGCATGCATGGAAAGGGTAAGATATCCCAAATTCATAGCAATTTAAGGCTAAATAATGTTTCCTTTTCATTAAAACTATAGTTACAGTCTTCTTTTTGTATAGCACTTTAAAATGTTAGATATTCCTTCAGAGCATATTAATTTTTCAGATTTTCAAATTTCAGAAAGGCAAAAGGAGAAATTTATTATCTCTACTGTAACAGGGAACAGAAAAATTATACTCACATATAGTATTTTTTAAACGATTGTAGTTAGTATTTTCTTTCTCTTTGACTTAATTTTTGACCAAATGATACCTAGTAAAAACATACATTATTGACTTGCATTTCAATTTTACATTAATTCATTTGTTCTTTTATTAATTCAATAAATATTTATTGAGCTTCTACCAAAGTGCCAAGCAGCGTTCTAAGTGCTGGGGCAACAGTGGTGAACAGAACAAAGTCTCTGTCCTCAATGAGCTTATGGAGTTGGGGGGATAATACACAAATATTAAAAAGTAACTCTGTAGTGTGCTAGAATGTTAAGTGCTAAGGAGAAGCATAAAGCAGAGTCAAAGTGTTCCAGAGTGTCGGAGGCAGGGAGGGAGGTGTTGCAAATTTAAAGAGAATGATCCAGGGGAACTTCCTGAGAAAATGACAGGAATATAGCAACCAGCATAAGTCTTGGAAATTTCTGGATTAGATCATTCTAGGCATGAAGGAAAGGGTAAATGCAAAGGCCCTGAGGCAGTCTAGTGCTTGGTGTGTTCAAGAAATAAGGAGGCCTTTGTGGGTGGGAGATAGAGCAGCTATCCAAGGTCAGAGAAATGGCAAGGTGCAAAATCGTGAAGGATCTCATAGGCCATTGTAAAGATTTTTACTTTCACTCTCAAGGAGATGGGAAGCTGCTAGACAACACTGAGCAGACATGTGACATGATTTGGCTTTGGTTTTAAAAGGATAACTCTGGCACCTGGTTTGGGAATAGACTGTAGGCGGCAAAGGCAGAAGTAGAAGTCTGGTTATGAGGCCATTACAACATTAAGCAATTGTTGATAGTAACTTAAACCAGGTGGTCATGATAGGGATGGCGAAAAGCAAACAGATTCATCACGTGTTTCAAAGGTCAAGTAGTAGAGTGTTGCTGATGCACTGGATGCAGTAGGTTAGAAAAAAGAGGAACTAAAGGTAATTCTAAGGTGTCTGATCTGAGAAACTGGGTCCATAGAACTGTCATTTACAAATCTAGGGACTATTGTGGGAAGATCAGGTTTGAGGGCCAATTAAGAGTTCATTTTTGGTTATGCTTAGTTGGAGATGTCTTTTGGATATCTCATTCATGAATGTATCTCATTTAGAGAAGTCACTAATAGTCAAATAATGTAAGTCTGGAATTCAGGGAAAACATATGGGCTGGAGAAATACATCTGGGAGTCATCAGACTACAGATGAAACCCAAACTCATGAAAGGGGATGATATGACCTACGAAGCAAATGTGGATAGAGAAGGCTGAGAATGCAGACTTCTTTCCTTGCCCAGTCACTCCTGGAGAGAGTACTAAAGAGTATAAAAGGAAGTAGAAAGGAAAAAGCTACAGAAGCCAGAAATCGTACAAATTGTTTATTCACTAATAAAATTTGAACATTTGTGATTTGCCAGAAATTCTGCCAGCCATTAAGAAAATAACATAGCAGACCAGGCATAGGCAGTGTCTTCAAGTAGTTGATGTTAATCAAGATGAACACTCAAGGACAAGGATAGAGATGAACTGCAGTGCATATTGTTGAACAGCAGTGAAGAGAAGGAGTAGCAAAGTACCAATGGAAGTGTGGACCTGACTCCAAGGTCTGAGAACAAGAAACTGCCTTTAATCCGTGTCTGCCTCCGATGGAGGCAAGCCAGGCCTGTGGGAATTCTGGGCAGCAAGATAATAGAAAACACAAATCAGAACAGAAGAAAAAAAGATTACAGGGGAAAATAGAAAGGTAGGAACCAACAGAGGCTGCAGTGTCATCTTTAGCATAAAATAACTGCTACTTGGCCTGTATTTTAGTCAACTTTGACATGTCCAGAGGCAAACATTGGCTTATATCTTTTCTGAAAAGATGTGTTTCGTGATGTCATGCAAATACTTCCCAATGAAACAACAGTTTCACTAATCAGAATTGTATTCTAATGAAACTTCCAACTGTATTTTTTAATTCAACCGCAGCTGCTATAACAATAAAACAAATTGCCCAGGATGTTAAATACTTTCCTTTTCAAAGCAATACTGAAGCAACCTTCTAATACACTTAGAAGTGTGTGGTTGGAGGAGATTTGGGCTGAAAGATGAAAACTAAGAGCAAAAGGAAAAATGTTTAAAAATAAATAGAAGGCTGGGCGCAGTGGCTCACGCCTGTAATCCCAGCACTTTGGGAGGCCAAGGTGGGTGGATCACCTGAGGTCAGGAGTTCAAGACCAGCCTGGCCAACATGGTAAAACTCCATCTCTACTAAAAATACAAAAATATTAGCTGGGTGTGGTGGTAGGCACTTGTACTTCCAGCTACTTGGGAGGCTGAAAAGTGGTGGTGATGGTGAGGGGGAATAAGAGTTCGCACATTCACTCATCTAAAATATATTTATTGAGCTCTTACTATACACCAGGGATTGTACTAAGATCTACAGCTCAATAAGGAGCAAAACTCAACATGTTTTCCCCTTCAACAGAGTTTACAACCTAAAGCAGTAGTCTTTAAAGTGGGATCTATATACCCCAGGGATTGAGTGAGATGATGCCATCAGAAAGTAACTACAACACAGGGTGGTGATGCTATAATAAAAACCACAATACACACAATCAACAAAGAACAGTAGAAAAAGGCAGCCTTTGGGGGATGGGAAGAAAATGTTAAAACTTCATATTTAATCATACAACAAGAAAAAGTCACTTGATATTTAATGCAGAGCTTGACAGTTATTTAAGTCTGAATTTAAAATCAACATATTTTGGTTGAATGGGCTTAAAACATTTTATTGACAGGTAAGCATAATACAAACAAGTGTGGCGTAAAACTTAAGATTTTTTGAATCTCAAGTTAAATTAGAAACTTTTAACACCTGGAAAGACAAAACTTAGATAACAGAGATGAGCCCTGACCTTGGACTACTGGCAGAAGAGTGAGGAATTGTCCTGACTGCACCACTTTACTGCCCCAGGAAGTCTTTGAAGGTTTTAAATTTCGAATGCCTAACATAGTATCTAGCAAATTGAAGTCATTCAGTGTTTGTGGAGCTGAATAATTGACTGCCACAATCTCGATTATTAGTATATGTTTAATTTGCTTAATTTGTACATCATTTGTATACTTGCATACAATGTAAATATGTAACAGAATAAATTTGGTGGCTGGGCTCCATGGCTCATGCCTGTAATCCTAGCATTTTGGGAAGCCGAGGTGGGTGGATTACCTAAGGGCATGACTTTGAGACCAGATTGGCCAACATGGTGAAACTTCATCTTTACTAAAAATACAAAAATCAGCCAAGTGGCGGGCGCGTGCCTGTAATCCCAGCTACTTGGGCACTGGCATTCCAGCCTGGGTAACAGAGCAAGACTCCGTCTCAAAAAAAAAAATTAAAAAAAAGCCTACATTAAATAGTCGACTGTTAGGTGAATGGACATGGAAGAGTAAGAATACAACAAGAGGGGAACAAATGAAGGCTAAATCTCTGGGGTTTGAATGAAGGAACAGTAGGATACAAGGCTAAGGAAGGTCTTTAATTATCCAAATATCAGTGAAAAACAGCAAGGATCTTCCGTCCATGCTTTGAATCCCTTTTATCTTCAGTGCTTAAATTTGCTTAGCTCAAAAGACACTTATTCCATCTTTCCTCATTTAACAATCCTTTAAAATAATTTCTAGAGGAGGAATGGAGTTGATAGTGACTTCCAAAGAAAAATCAGAATCCCTAAGAAAAATACACGGTAAATCCTTTGCAAGGGAGTTAAGGTTACAACAGTTTTGAGTGGTTTTGTTCTCGTTGCTTTATCTCGTTCAACTGCAAACCTTCACTCCGGCGGACTCCGTACGCATTTAACCCTTTCAGCTTAAACCAAGAAGCCGATCCCCTTCAGAATGGTAGAAGTCACAGAGGAGACCGTAGCGAGGGTGGGCTTCTGTCACCCAAACGCGGCCACAGACTCCTGCCACGCCTGGCAGTAAAAGAACCAGAGTTCAGGGCATCGGGAACTTCACCGAGGCTATTGCGCAGGCTCTGCGATCCACGCAGGCTTATTAGGAAGAAAGGGGAAAATATTGCCCAGAGACACGTGAACTCGAGGGGGGCCAGCCCCGGCGTAGGCTCCCCACCGCATCGGATTCTGGAATTTACAATCACGAAAGTTCTATTGTCCCGCGATTGGCTCCGGGGCCTCATGACATCATAGCGCTTGATTCATCTCTCGCGTCCTGATTGGCTGGCCGCGCCATTGTGACGTCACGGTCAGCCCACGTTCTGATTGTAGACAGCCGGCGCCTTCCTCTTCCCATCGCGGCGGGTCCTCGCGCCGGTGCCTCCTCTTACATCCTCCTCGGCTCCGGCAGCCACCCGCGCTCCCGCCGCCGCGGCCGCCTTGCTGCTCAGAGCTGCTGCCGCCCCTCGGGCCAAGAGGTAAAACCATCCGCTCCGAGAAACTTCGTCGGGGGCCGCCGCTCGGCCATGACACCCGCGCGAGCGCGCGGCCGGGACGCGGGCAGGGAACTGCCGTTAGGTCTCGGACTGGTGCCGGGGAAGAGCTGCTGGGGCGGCCCGCGCTTTGCCCGCGGCCGCCAGCCCCATTGGCCCCGGGGGACAGCCTGGCTCCTGGGGCGCGGGGAAAGGGGTGCGAGCGCGGGCGGTCGCCCCTCGCTGGGGTAGAGGCAAGGCGATCGGGAGCGGCTTCGGTGCTGCGGTCGCACCTGTGCGCGCTGACAGGCGCCGCGGGGCACTACCCCCTGCCCGGACCGGACGCGGGAGGGATGGGTCTCTGCGCTGGGGTCCTCCAGCCCAGCCGGCCGGAGCGCGCGGGAGATCCGGGGGAGCGCTCTTGGAGGGAGCGCGCTTTCTTTGGAGGCGGCGAAACCCGGGTGAGTTCGAAGAGCCTTAGCGGGTCCGCGGGCTTCGGGCGCCGCTGTGGGGACGCTCCGGCCTTTTCTTGTTCTCCCCTTCTCACCGCTTCCGTTAGCCTTTCGGACCTTCCCTCCGCCCCTCAATGGGAAGCCTGCTAGCTCGGGACCACTTCAGTTTTTATTAAAACCAGACAACGGCAGCCCTCGGTACTCAGGGAGGGATGAGGCTGGTGGTAAAGCGAGAGGGCGGGGACTCAGGGGCCACCGGGGCGGCCCTTTCAGGGAGCCTGATCGCTGGAGAGGCGGGAGCGGTCGGTGGCAGGGGAGGCGCGCAGCGCGCGGGCGGCCCTTCCCTGGGCCTGTGGAGCTGGAGTCTATGTTGTGTTGCGAGTTGTAAGGAAAAGTGCCTTTGTACTGTTTACACGCCACTCTCCCACACAGCCACCTCGGGTGGAGGGAGTAATGCCTAGGGCAAGAGTGGTTCTTGCTGAACTGTGTCTTACTCTTGCACTTGGCAGTCCCCCCAACCCCCCGCCCCAAACCTACCTCCTGCCCCATCCGCAGTTGTGAATTAGACTCCTTGATTGCAAAATTTGGCCAAGTTATGCAAAGTCGGGGTTGCGGGGGGGGGGGGTTCTCTTTCGGAAGAAACCAGTGCATGGTTTATTAGCTGGACTGAAGAACCCAGAGGTGCTGGAGGGGATTTGTGGGGAGGGAGCAGTCTTATTTGTTTTAAATAGTGGGACCGTGGCAGGAAGTGCTTTATAGAATTGTATGGAAGAGCTGATGTTGCTTGTCAGATTTTGGAACTCGTTCTCCTAACCACTTGGCAGATAACCTGTTGGTCTGCACTTGTTTTACTTGCATGTCTCAGTCAACAGCATTTGGTGCAGAATCTACAGAGACAGGGGGTTTTGCATTAGATGGCCGTGGACAAACGTTTTAATCTTCCGTCTGTGGTTGGGGACAAGTGGGATTACTTTTCTAGTAGCTCAGACACTGCCTGGGATTCTCCAGGAAAGCTCTGTACTTGAAAGGGACATGTTACTCTTTTTCCTTTTAGATTTTTACCCTAGATTCTAACTTCTTATTGCCAGAAACTTTTTTGTAACTGTTTCTCTTTTTGCATTTCCGTTTCTAACTGAAGACAAAGGGAAAATTTTTATTGATGGTTACAGATAGGTGTTACAGAATGTAGTACAGAACTTTGCTGAAAAGTGACCGTAGAAAGTCTAATAAAATTTGATACGTTTTTCAAGAAAAATATCTTGTAATTTCAGACATTGACCTTACCTCCTTGACTCAGTTTCCTTGTCTATATATGGGGGTTTTATGTGGCAGAATTATTATGAATTTCAAGAGATAATACAAGCGAGAGCTCAGTATTGGGTCTGCCAAATGGTGATTTGAAAATGTTTCCTTCTCAGTCCCTGAGATCAGAGTTTCTTCTTGGTTACAGACCTTAATTTTTGGATGTTCAGTGTTTGCAAGAATCTTTTTTACACCGCCTCCTGTTTTGCTCCCTGCATAATTGTTGCTTGTCTTTCTGCTTCTAGAGGTGAGCCTCCATCCTTGGGTGTCTTATTTCCAGCTTGAATTATACAAATAAAAGCAAAACTGTTTACTTTTCTTTAGGGTAACTTTGGTGCCTAGGTAGTTAGTAGAAAGTGTGAAGAGAGAGTTTTAGCTCTTTTTTTCCAGTCCACGTTCCTCTCTTTTGAAACATTTTGTAATTATTTTTTGGATTCTTCTTCATTGTCTCCCAGCTCTTCTGGTGTCAAAAGGATAATCCTCTCATTAGTTATCCATAAATAAATCGTTCTTTGAATGCTTTCTGTGTCAGGTACTTACTGATATGCACATGTACCGAAACGGTTGTTTTCCACACGTAATTCTTATAACATTCCTGTGAGGTTTTTTCACCCCGGTTTTTTTTAAGAATTGAGGACTGCTATGAAGACACATGCACATGTATGTTTATTGCAGCACTATTTACAATAGCAAAGACTTGGAACCAACCCAAATGCCTATCAATGATAGACTGGATAAAGACAATGTGGCACATATACACCATGGAATACTATGCAGCCTTAAAAAAAAAAAGAATGACTTCATGTCCTTTGCAGGGACATGGATGAAGCTGGAAACCATCATCCTCAGCAAACTAACACAGGAACAGAAAACCAAAGACTGCATGTTCTCACTCATAAGTGGGTGTTGAACAATGAGAGCACATGGACACAGGGAGGGGAACATCACACGCGTGTTGGGGTGGTGGGAGGCAAGGGGAAGGAGAGCATTAGGACAAATATCTAATACATGTGGGGCTTAAAACCTAGGTGATGGTTTTAAGGCTTGACAGGTGGAGGAAACCACTGTGGCACATGTATACTATGTGACAAACCTGCACGTTCAGTGCATGTATCCCAGAACTAAAAAAAAAAGATTTGAGGAAATAAGGCGTAAGCTCTAGAGATGACAAGTGACTTGTCCAAATTTCCAGTAGCTCTGTCTCCTGCAACATCCTTGCTCCTTCAAATATCCCTGTGCTGCCAGGATTATTTGTCCAGTAAGCTCTGTGCCATTATGTAACACTGTTACTCTGTAACTTAAAATCTAACCTTTAAATGTTCCTCTTAATTCATCCAAGACTAACAATTTATTGTCTCTTAAATCTGCCTGAAATCTGTTCCCTTTCTTGTATCCCACACTTGATTCATTTTTAAAATTAATCAATTGACTTCTCAGTTACTGATTATGGGTGCAAGGGGCTGGCTACAAAGATGAAGGACAGCAGTTCTGGATTCCAGAGGGTTTCCTGATTTGGTACATACTTTAAGCCGTGTATACACATACTTAATCTGCACCTTGGACCAAAAGAGAGTCAGAAGCAGATTTCTGGGAAACTTGTGTTTTTATATTTAAGAGAGCTTTATGGCAGAGCTATCCATGTTAGATATATCAGGGCCTAGCACTGCTGAATTGGTCAGGATGCTTTTGGTGCAAGAAACAGAACACTCAACCCCGACTTACCTGTGCATCTGACCTGAAAAGTCCTGAGGGCAGGACTTCTGCTCCATTTCTCTGCAGTCCCCTTAGATGTCTCTTATATCCCAGGCTGATTTTCCAAGATGACTGACAGCAACTGCCACCATAGTCTCACAAGGGGACTTCCCAACTTCCACCCTCCAAAGAGTCGTTTGCCGTGAGGTGATTGACTTAGGCCTTGGTTACTTGAAGCAATAACTGGAACAGTGGACGTTTGGTAAGCTGGGGTCCCATCCCAGAACCAGGGAAGTGGAGTTACATTTCCTCAAGAAGGGCCTGCAGAACACAGGAAGTCAGCTACAGTGTCTGTTATAAGGACTGAAAGAACCGAACAGATGATTGCATTAAACTAAATTGACTTGAATTAGGATTTAGCCTTACAGTTCATAAAGGACTCTTAGTTGACAGGCAGGAATAGGAGGACATGCATTCTAGGCAAGAAGGAGTTTGGAGAGTAAGCAAGTGTGGAATCATTGAGCAAAAAGCAAATAGCACGATTGGCAGAAGCTGGTTGAGAAGGCAGGTGTGGAAGAAAAGGTGAGAAAGGTAAGTTATTGATGTAGTAATATGGCTTTTACTGAGCTGTTGTATGTCAGACCCTGCATCGAGCCCCTCCCAATAACTTATTTCTATTATTAATGGGTGCTAGAGCATTCCCATTTTACAGGTGGAGAAATAGAGGCCCAGAGTTTAGACACTTGATTGAGGTCACAGAGCATTCCAGCTCAGATCATCTTGACCCCCTGGCCTGCTCCCTCTCCTAAGGTGTTTGGTAGAATACCACCAATAAGCTTTTGAATGAGAATGAGAACATTTGATGAGTCCTGTGCTCCAGAAAGACAGTCTTGTCAGAGTGTAGGGTAGATTGGTGTGGGGCTTTTAGAGATAGCCAGGGCAGTGAAATTGAGCACAGACTGGAGAGAGGTAATTGTGGGAGACTGTCCAGGATAGGACCTGAAGACTTATTGGATTTGAGGGCCAACAAGAGGAGGGTTACTCTTCTAAAGAGAAGATGGAGCTTTATGATCAGATAGAAATAGCCCCACAGCCTAGATAGATATCCAGACTAGCTATTTCTTCCAATTCCTTCACGGCCAACCTTTGTCTGATCCATTTTTTTCGTTGCCTTTCTGCAAGTACATGTTTCTACCACATTTCATCCATTGTCAGCTTTTCACATTTCACATCTGGGTAGAGATGCAGCTTATAATCAGTGGCATCTTAAAGTCGCTGCAGGTAACTTTCCACATTTTAATATTACAGAATTGGGATGCCTCCTACACTTGTCCCTGGTAAGAAAAGGAAATCTCCAATATTACCAAAGGTCATGCAGCCAGATGCTGGCAGAGCCAGGCTTCTGGACGTCTTTTACCCAGCTGGGTTACCTCCACTCACATAATAGATTTTTTTTTTTTTTTTTTTTTTTTTTGAGACAGAGTTTCGCTCTTGTTACCCAGGCTGGAGTGCAATGGTGCGACCTCGGCTCACCGCAACCTCCACCTCCTGGGTTCAGGC